TCACCAATATCACATTCCTCCTTCCTGGTAGCGTATAGAGTACAATAAGTTATATCATGCCTCTACTTTACTTTTGAAGCTCGAAGAAAAGCTCCGAACATCTTTTTACTTTTCATTATTTTTGAACGTTTGTGAGATCTGTAGTGAAACTCATTGTTGAAGGTCGCAGTTGTTGAAGCATTTGCTGATTATAACGAAGTTTTTGATCATTTTGCACCGGTAGGTGAATATGAGAATCTCAGTGTTTCTTCTTTTCTTGGTCTATTCCGAATTCAATCACCCATTGGAGTAGGAACGTGAGTTCTTTAAGAATTAATCTGAGTGTGTTACATCAATCAGGTCACTGATTCTACGCTTTGATAAATTATTCACTTAATGAATGAAAAAACGTGACAACTTTGTGGAATCAGATCAGTTTAAAGTGGCAATAGTTGAAGGTGCAAAAAATCAGCCATATGAATGAAAAACTGCCTGACCAACCGTCTACTGAATAAGTTGATGGGAAACGAAATTTAATTCATCAATAGTGATTTGTCAGACACCGAAAATCAGAAAGCATTTCAAATCGATGCGATAAGATATCATTTCGAAATTTATGAACATTGAGCACAAGCGATTAAGCGAGAAATTTACGTACGAGAATTAAATTCCGTGCGAGAAATTTACGAATTATACATTACAATTTAAATTCCGAACTGATTTAGATTCGCCATCAACCGACCTACAGCACGACACTAATACCATTCGATATGAGATGGATCTCTCGAAAAAAGGAAACGCGGAATACGATCTTCGGTCCTTCNTTCTCTATTCTATTCAATAGTGACTCAAAAACTCAAATTACTACACAACTCCCCCACTAATGAATGCGTTCCATCCACCAAATGATTCAGTACTTTTTCATCGAGCATTTGTCATACTCATTAGAGAGGTACAACAACATCATTCATTGTTTTTAGTCAAAAAACAGTGCTGACGATATCTTGATGCATTTTGGACTGCACGTGAGAGCGAGCGAGAATTTCACGCAGAAATTACACGCAGAGTCAAATCCCGTTGGTGAAGGTTTTTCTTGTTTGTCGTTGTGGGCATTAAAATAACTGTCTGATCATGTCCCATCAGTCTTCGAAGTTAACGCATCACAGATTACTGGATTAATCGGAATACACATGGGAGTTATATGAATTTTTAATTCTAACCTGCTTTTCGAATGGTGTCTAAATCTTGATCTTGCGGCTGGCGATAGGGTGGCACTTCGTTTCGGCACCTGTTGAGGTGCATAACCTAAATCATTCGACGAATCCGAATCGTCCGCATCGTTGCCGTTATTCACAGAAGGTGAGTCCATGTCCATGTTCACGGTTGATTCCTTTTAAATACTGAATCAGTTTAGCATTGTCAAGTGATAAAATGAACGAATGAACATGTCTGTAGATCGTATCTATGATCAGTACTATAGAAATCGTCATAATAAACGCGAACGACTCGGCGTTATTATCGTTTCTTTCTCATTCGAAACATCTGGTGAAGGCTTTATCTTGTTGAAACGTTCGTTTTTTTGCATTAACGAATCGCAGCTATTTGTATGAGCACTATTGATCACGTTGTTTATGATGACAGTACAAATTAATTTGTGAGTTTTGTTTTATGTTCCAACTTTTTTCGTCGACTCTCATCGCAGTGTTATTCTCTTTAGACCATCAAAACTTTAGGCCCAACATTATGTGCCTCTTTTTTCAGCATCATCGATGAAAACGTTACGAGCCTTTGGTGTAATGATCAGTTCGAGAAATAAGCATATATTTACGATCAGGGTTCTAGGTGATATTTTCACATATTGCCAATTTGCGGTCAAACAAACATCAGTTCAGATATTATTCTCATCATATGATTGCCAATTTAATTGACTAATCGAATATTAATTCATCACACGCATCAATATCGTGAACTTAGGGAATCGTCAACTTACGAAATAAATCAGAGATTCGAGTGAACTGTCTCGTGGATTGACTTACTGAAAAAGTGTCGGTGAACGGGTTCGTGTTTTTTAACATTCGTCAGTTGACAATTGACAATCGAACACCAAAGACATTTAATACTCATAAGTTGAATTGCTGCTAAATGCGATTAAAATGTACGGAAAAGCGAATTGCTCGAAGCGCACCATAGACAAATCACTCACTCAAAACTGCGCTCGACACACTTTCGTATCATTCATTTCACTTTTTTCGATTGAATAGCTGATTAAAATTGATAAAGAGTTAGTGCAAAGAAAGTGAACATTTCGCAACACACGCTCTTCACTCATATTTTATACGAATGCATCTTTACTGATTAGTGGTCGAATTGTTCGCTTTTTT